GCTTTTTAAGCATCTATTGATATGATCATATGATTTTTATCTTTCATTTTGTTTATGTGGTGTATCACATTGATTTGTGAATATCGTCCCAGCCTTGTATTCCTGGGATAAAGCCCACTTGGTCATGTGAATAATTTTTAAATATATGGTTGGATCCTATCTGCTAATATTCTGTTGAGGATTTCGGCATCTAAGTTCATCAAGGATATTGGCCTGTAATTTTCTTTCTGTTTATAAAAAGTATATTTTATTGATTTTTTTTTTAGAGAGAGACAGGAAGGAAGAGAGAGATAGAAACATTGATGAGAGAGAGAGAAACATCAATCGGTGCCTCCTGCATTCTCCCTTCTAGGGATCAAGCCTGTAACTCGGACATGTGCCATGACCAGGAATTGAACCAGGACCTCTCAGTTCACAGAATGATGCTCAATCCACTGAGCCACACTAGTCAGGCTAATTTTCTTTGTTTGTATTGCTTTTATCTGGTTTTGGAATTAATATTATGCTGGCCTCATAAATAGAGCTTGGAAGCCTTTATTCCTTTTGAATTTTTTTGGAATAGTTTGAGGAGATTTGGTGTTAGTTATTCTTTGAATGTTTGCAAAAACTCCCTTGTGAAGCCATCTGCACCAGGGCTTTTTTTTGCTGGGAGTTTCTTGATTACTGCTTCAGTTTACTTTGTCATTATTGGTATGTTTATGTTTTCTGACTGTTCCTAGTTGAATTTTGGAAGACTTTATGATTCAAGAAACTGTTCCATTTGACCTAGGTTGTCCAATTGGTTGGCATATAATTATTCATAGCATTTTCTTACAATCCTTAGTATTTTTGTGGTGTGAGTTGTTATGTCACCTCTTTCGTTTCTGATTTTGCTTATTTGGGTCTTCTCACTTTGTTTCTTGGTGAGTCTGGCTAAACTTTCATCAGTCTTGTTTCTCTTCTCAAAGAGCCAGCTCTTGGTTTCATTGATCTTTTGAAATTTTTTTTTAGCCTCTATATTATTTATTTTTGCTCTGCTCCTTATTATTTCTTTCCTTCTACTTACTTTGTGTTTTTCTTTTGTTCTTTTTCTAAGTCTTTAAGATGTAGGGTTAGATAGTCTATTAGAAATTTTCTTGTTTGTTCAGGTAGGCCTATAGTGCTATAAACTTCCCTCTCTAGAATGCTTTTCACTGAATCCCATAGATTTTTGTGTTGTTGTGTGTTCATTTTCACTGATTTCCAGGAAGGTTTTTATTTCTTCCTTGATCTCATTGGTAACCCACTCATTGTTTAATAATGTGCTATTTAGCCTCCATGTGTTTGAATGTTTTTGAGTGTTTTTATAGTAATTTTTAGTTTCATGCCATTGTGATTAGAAAAGATGCTTGATATGATTTCAATCTTGTTGAACTTTTAGAGGCTTAGTTTGTGTCCTAGCATGAGGTCTATCTTTGATAATGTCTCGTGTATACTCTGCAGTTTTGGGGTGAAATGCTCTGTGAATATCAATTAACTCTATCTGATCTAATTCATCATTTAGGGTCTCTGCTTCCTTCTTAATTTTTTGTCTAGAAGATATATCCAGTGATGTCAGTGAGTGTTAAGTTCCCCTACTAGGATTGCATTTCTGTGTATCTCTCCCTCAAAGTCCTCCAGAATTTTTTAAACATATTTTTGTGATCCTATATAGGTGCATATATGTTTATCAGGGTTATATCTTATTGTTGAACCAGTCATTTTAATATTATGTAGTGACTTTCTTTGTCTCTTATTATGGCCTTCATTTTGAATTCTATTTTATCAGACTTGTAAATTGCTACCACAGCTTTTGTTTTTTGGTTTTCATTTGTTTGGAAAATGTTTTTCTACCCCTTCAATTTAATCCTGTGAAAATCTTTTGTTCTGAGGTGGGTCTTTTGTAGGCAGTGTACATATGGCTTTGCTTTCTTATCCAGTCAGCTACCCCGTGTCCTTTGATTGGAGCATTTAATCCATTTATATTTAAATTATTTTTGATACATACTTGTTTACTGCCATTTTAATTCATTATGGATATGTTTCTCTTTCTGTGCTTCATCTTATTTAATATAGCAGTACCATTAGCATTTTTTGGAGTGCTGGTTTGGTTGTAATCTATGTGTTAGAATTTTTTTTTTTTTGGTCTGGGAATCTCTTTATTTTACCTTCTATTTAAAATGATAGCCTTGCTGGATAGAGTAGTCTGGGTTTCAGATACTTGTTTTTCATTACCTTGAATATTTCATGCCATTCCGTACCTGGCCTGTATTTTTTCTGTTGAGAAATCAGCTGACAGCCTTATGGGAGGTCCTTTGTAGGTAACCTGTTACTTTTTATTGCTGCCTTTAAAATTTTATCTTTGTCTTTAATTTTTGGCATTTTATTTATGATGTGTCTTGGTGTGGGACTCTTTAGGTTTTTCTTTCTTGTATCTCTGTGCTTCCTGAACTTGTGTGCCTTTTTCTTTCTCCAAGCTAAGGATGTTTTTTGCCTCTATTTCTTTAAACAGGTCACTTTCTTCCCTTGCTCACTTTCTTCCTCTTCTGGTAATCCTAGGTTGCAGATGTTGTTATGTTTTACGTTGTCCCACAGCTCTCTTAAAGTGCCCTCCTGTTTTTTAATTGCTTTTTCTTTTTGATTCTCTTGAGTGATTTTTTTGGCCCTGTCTTCTAATTTTCTGATCTGATATTCAACTTCCTCTAATGTGCTAATTATTCCTTTCAGTGTATTCTTTAGTTCTGCAATGTCATTCTTCATTTTTTGATTGGTTGCTTTTTATTTCCAATTGGTTATTTTTCCTTTCTGTTAGTTGATTTTCATTGTTTCTACATCTTTTGTCATGCTTTGAGCCTCCTTATAATCTTTACTCTAAACTCTATATCTGATAACTTATTTATCTCCATTTCATTTGGGGCTTTTTCCTTTGTTTCTTCATTTTGGCTGTCAGGAGGGTTTAGAGCCTGCCAAAATCTCCCTGTGGATATCAATAATCCACAGTTTGTGGCTCCCTGTGCTGAGTTTGGATGTGTATAGAAGGGACCAAGCTTAACACCATGTCTGGTTTTACTCTCCTGAGGTAGAGTTGCAAGCCAGGCAAAGACTCAAGGGTCCCAGAGATCTACCTCTGTCTTCATGCTGACTGTTAGTATCAATCACTTAATGAGCTTCAGGTTGTGGTCCTCAGCTGGACATAAACTCCACCCTGCAGATGAAGTGAGAAAATTTCCAGTGTGTGCGGCAATTGCTTCTCCCTGGGCTAAAGCTGCATTTATGGGAAAACTCTGCCTGAAAAATATGACTTCTGCAGCATAGGGTAATGACTCAGCACAGGGACCCAGGCAGCTGCCTTCACAGTTTTATCCCCAGAGCCCCAAATCCTAGCGTCCACTAGCCAGGTGCAAACTTAAAACACCCAGAGATCTGTCTCTGCCTGCATGCTGGCTGTTAGTCCCAGTCACTTAATGAGCCTCAGGTTATAGTGCTCTACTAGAAGTAAACTCCACCTGGTGGGTGGAGTGAGAGAATTTTCAGTGAGTGTGGCAATTGTTTTATCTCAGCTAAAGCTGCTTTGATGGGAAGATGATGCCTGAGAAAGATGGCTTTTACAACATGGGGGAAAGACTCAGCATAGGGCTCCTGATGACTTTCTTCCCAGCTCTCTCCCTAGCACCATGAATCCCAGACCTTTCTCACACAGCAGTAATCCACTCAGTCCTCCCTTTGCTAGAGGCCCAAGGTGAGTAGCTATAGATGAAATTTACTGTGCTGGCCCTTCAGGCAGGTGCCTGTGTTTCCAGCATCTCTTCCTGCCAGACAGAACCACTGCACTGGTGTGTTTTAAATCTATGTGTTCTGTGAGCAACTTTCCAGGTTCTGCCATTCTGGGCTGGGGAGCCCAGGTTGGGGTTTAAATGCAAAACTTCTCAGGGAAACTTCCTACAGCTGAGATATCCCTCCAGAACTTCAGCTGCTTCCTGTGGGAGCCCAGCCAGCCCTCTCATACCTCTGCACTTCCTACCAATCTCCATGTCAGGTCCTCTTTACATCTCTGGTTATAAGGGTTCTATGCAACTGATTGTCAATTGGTTATTCCAGATGCTTTTTCTATATTTAAGTTGTAATTTCATTTTGGTCCTGGGAGAAGTTCAGTGTAGCTTCCATTCAATCTGCTGCCATTTTCCCCCTAATTATTTCTTAATGTACTTTTCTTACTATTTTATTTGTTGATTATTTTTGCATGTGTTGGTAAGTTATGTAAGCTCATAAAACAACATATTTTTATGAGATACTTACTTGATATAACTCATAGTTGCAGTTAACTTTTGTAAGTCTGACTTTTCACTTGCTTACCACTCATTATCTACCTTTTTAATATAGCGTATTCTCTTTCACTTTGTCCCTCATTATTTCTTTCTTATCAGCAATGAAAATAACTTTTCAGGGTTTTACCTTAGTTGAATTGTCCATTAAAAAAATATATTGCATTGTAATTGGCTTACTATTACACCCTTCAACAAATTCACCTTTCCTATATTTAAATTCTTTTGATTAGCATTTCTCCAGTGTTTAGGTCAACCAACTTAGTGATTCTGATGATATTAAAGTATCACACAGATTTTTTTTTTTGTTCTCACCACTACATTGAATATATTTCTTTTTGCTTTTTTCTGATAAAGGCAACTTTCATGGATTGTAAATTTTATATTGCTATTGTTTTGTACATTGTACTGTTAACATGAAAACTTTAGTGAAATATAGAAAAATTAACTTAGATTTTCTAATAACTGAGACAGCAATAGAATTTTAGTTGGTGTCAGTGTTGTCAGATTTTTTTTTCCACCTAGTGTCAGAAGTACAAATTAATTAAATATGCAAACCATCTATTCACAATTGTGATATCTTGGCATAATTTAAGGTTACTAAAATGTGTAAATAAACTGGTAGATGACATTTCTATTTGGATCTATATAATTAAATCTTTCTCCATTATTTATTGACAGATATGTTTAAAAGGTAAAGTACACATATTTAAGTACTTAAATATCCAGGCATGTTGCAGAATGGATAAGAAACCAGATTCTCTCGATCTTCCATCATTAAGTAAAAGAATGCCCTCCCAGCCTCTCACAGACAGGTAATATAAAACAGTCTTGTTTTATAATTAGCATCTTCTCTGCAAACAAAAGATATTTATTAATCTTGAGTGTACTGAATATGTGTAGGCTGATTGGCTCAGGGGTAAATACAATAACTGGGTGCAATGAAATATTATTATCATAGAATGAACTTCTATGATACTAAAATCAATTTAGAATTTTCTCAAAAAATAACTATTATTAAAGCTTTAGTGTAAAATATATAACATTTAATATTATAGTACAGAAATACTAATTTCTCAGAACTTGACAACTATTAACTTACTCCTGTGATCACTGTATTATACATTTGTAATAACAAGTAAGATATGACTTTGACCTGAATTTGTTGGAAGAGCAAGGCATTTTGGAGTACTTTCATACTTCATATTCTTTGTAATTTTTATATATAGATCAAAGACGACTTATCATAGATGTTTTGTATGTTGTTGATGTTTTTATCGTCATGAGATTTTGAAATGATAGATTTGATATTCTGTTTTTTATTCTATCCAGTAGTATGGAAATTAATGGGGATGGGGTGAGACTAAAGAAATGGAGACTATGACCAGGCCTAAGATATTTAAAGTTTTGATATTGTATTTATGCTATAACTCACACTACTTTGACTGGCAACGCATATAGTAAGTACTGTTGTTAACAGTGCAAATTCCAGAATTCCCAAATAGGAATTTATATGTTGCCTAAGTAGAATTAAATATCAAACTATTAAATTTAGTTTCTAAAGTTTCTTTTGTTCAATATTATGAACTATAGTAAACCAAACAATTTTATAGAAATTAGACTTAAGTCATATTCTAATATCTATTGGTCTGTTTTATATTTATTTAAAAATGAATTTACTTTAGTAACAGCATTTATTATATTAGTCATTTATTTATTTTACAAATATCAGTAGCATGCCTACTGGCACACTCAGGGTATGTTGTGTTGAGTGACATATATATTCATCTTAGCCTTCATGTAGCTCACAATCTAATGGAGGAGTCAGTCAATAAAGCAAGGAAACACAATACACATAATTTCTTATTTTCTTGTTATAAAGGAGAGAAACTGTTTCAGGAATAAAAATAGAAAATGTTTCCTTGGTAAGGAGAAATTTTAAGTCAAGATCTGAAAGGAGAAAAGATAGCTGTGTAAAGAGCAAGGGGAAGAGCATTTCAGGCAGAAATCATGACATGTGCCAAAGCCTTAAGTTAGGAAGAGACTTAGTATGATAAAAAACTGAATGGGGAAAATTTAAAATGGTGGCAGAGTGAATAGAAGCTACACAGAAAGTCTTTAAGCACCAAACTGGAATTACAACTAAAATAAAGACAAGTCATTGGGAAAAACCAACTGAAGAGCAGCTGAAGAGAACCCTTATAATTAGGGACATAAAGAGGATGCCAAATTGAGCCTTGTAGGAGCAGCAGAGGTGCAAGAGGGCTGGCTGGGTGCCCATGGGAAGCAGCTGAGGGCTGCCTTAGCTGTGAGCAGTTCCCTCAGAGAAGTCAGAGGTTAAAACACCAAGCTGGCTCGCCAATACAGAGGTGGAACAGGGAATGGTGCCCACATAATGCCTGGCTGAGAAAAATACCAGAGCAAAGGTTTTGTCCAGCAGGGAAAGGCGCTGGGAACATGAGAACTTCCCTGAAGGGCCAGGGCACTAAATCAGATACAGCTACTCACCTTAGGCTCTGGCAGAGGGAGGGTGGACTGCACTGGAACTGTGTGAAGAGAGTTGAGGGTTATGGCACTGGTGAGAGAGCTGGGAAGGAGGCCATCAGGAATTTTATGCTGAATCACTATCTCATAGGACAGTTACCATTTTACTCAAAGAGCCCCTTCCCAGAGCCCTGGAGAGAAGCAACTGCCCCTCCTTCAGGAATTTAACACCACCCTGTGGCTCTGGAGACTGAGTTGTGAAGGCAGAAGCCTGGACCCATGCACTGAGCCAATAACCCACACTGCATAAACCACTTTCTAATCAAAGCAACTGTAACCCAGGGGAAAGCAGTTGGCTCACCCACTTGAAATCTCTTACCCTGCCCACATGAGCAATTTTTAAAAATTCAGTTGAGGGCTAAAACTATGCTCCTGGGCTCGTGCTGTGGTTCTGTGGTCACAGAGACCTGGGGCTGGTAGTCCCTGTAGGGCCAAATGGGTGTTTTCTCCTCTCACTCTGTACCTTTGCTGGGCTCTGAGAGAGACCTTGCGATTGCTGAAGGAAAAGGCTAGGTGCTTGTCCTGCCACACTGGGTGTGTGTCCTTACCTGCAGCCAGAGTTGTGGGGGAACCGCCCAGGCACTGCCCTTTTTTTGCTGGTTCTTGGAGTACATACACCACAAGGGCTTTCCAGGCAGCGGGAGTCAGGGATTCTGCTCTTTTACTTGGTAGATTTTGTGTCTTCTGTTATCTGCTTGTATAATGTATTATTTTTACAATGGGAGAAAAAATGAACAGTGTATTTTAAAGAAAAAAAAAGGCTCATTATGTAACTGAGAATAATAACCTACAGGCAGGCAAAAGCTATAGGATAACTGAATCTTTGCTTTGCCTGCGAATCTACCCAGGAAAGTAAGAGTAGATGTTGGTGTTTAATGTGGGCCCTCCCACACTCATCCAAATGCAGTAGAGGGAGCCACAGTCAGTGGAACACTGACCCCCTCAGGGGAAAGTTGGCAGGCTACAAACAAAATCCACTGAGACAGCAAAAATGGTAAATCAAAGAAACAGATCCCAAATGAAAGAAAAAGAGAATTCTACTAAAAGGGGATAAATGAAATGGAATTAAGTAAGTTATCAAAGGTGGAGCTCAGAGTAATGATTATGAGGAAGCTCAACAGCATGAGTAAAGAACTCAACATCATGAGTAAAGATATAGAAACAATAAAAATCAACCAATTGGAAATGAAAAACATGAAGGGGAAATGAAGAATGACAGAACAGAATAAGGAACACATTAGAAGGAATAACCAGAAGATTAGAAGAAGCCAAGGATCAGATCAGTTCATTAGAAGACAGGGTAGAAAAAATTACCCAATCAGAGAACCAAAAATAATAAGCAATTAAAGAACAAGAGGGCAGTATAAGAGAAACGTGGGAAAAAATGAAATGTAACAATATTCACATCACAGGAGTTCCAGAAGATGAAGAAAATGAGCAAATGTTAGAGAATATATAGTCAGCTCTCGTTTATTGTATTCCAGACTCTACTGTGATAAATTCCACGAAGTAGATTATTTATAAATCAAATAGTTTTATCCTCAGAAGGCTTAAAAGAAGCAGCAAGTTCAGGAGCCATCGTGAGGCTTAGATAAAAGTTCTCAGAAATCTCAAATTCTTAAAAGAGCAAAGATGCTTCTGATGCACAGCAATATAGAAGCATGTGTGAGAGAAATGAACTTTCATGAGGCTGAGCCAAGAACTACTCTATCCAACAAGGTTATCATCCAAACTAGATGGTGAAAAAAAGAGCTTTCCAAACCAACAACAACAACAAAAAAAGCTAAGGGCATATATTAGCACCAAACCAGCACTGCAAGAAATGTTCACAGGACTGCTGTAATAAGCAGAAGAAGTAGGGAGAGAAACATACCATAATAAGAAAAAATGGCAATAAATAAATACATATCAATAATAACCTTAAATGTATATGGATTAAAGACACTGAGTAGCCCTGGCCAGTTTGGCTCAGTGGTTGAGCTTCAGCCTATGGACCAGAGAGTCCTGGGTTCACTTCCTGCTAGGGGCACATACCACACACACACAAAAAGACACTGAGTAGCTGAATGGATAAGAAAGCATGGCTCACATTTATGTTGTTTACAAGATATCCACCTCACAACAAAAGACTCACATAGGTTGAAACAGAAGGGATGGAAAAAAAAAATGTTCCAAGCAAATAAATGGGAAGAAAATAAAGGTGAGATAGCAATACTCAAATCCAACAAAATAGACTTGAAATTGAAGTTCATAACTAGAGACAAAGAAGGCCACTACATAACATTGAAAGAATATATCCAACAGGATGATATAACCTTGGTAAACATATATTAACCCAAAACAGAAGTACCAAAATATATTTAAAAACTTCTGGAAGACTTCAGAGGAGAAATCAACTACAAAATAATCATAGCAGTGGACTTCAATACCCTGCTGACATCACTGGATAGATCCTCTAGACAAAAACTTAACAAGGAAACAGAAACTTTAAATGATGCACCAGATCAAATGGCTCTACTAGATATTTACAGAGAAGTACTCACCGAAACTACAGAATTCACATTTTTCTCAAGTGCACATGGGACATTCTCAAATAGAGACCACATGTTAGGACACAAACTAAGTCTCTACAAGTTCAAGAAGATTGAAATCATATCAAGCATCTTTTTAGATCACAATGGCAGGAAGCTCGATATTGATTACAATAAAAACACTCAAGCACATGAAATCAAAAGAGCATGTTATTAAACAATGAATGGGTTAGCATGGAGATCAAGGAAGAAACAAAAAACCTTTCTGAAAAACAAAGAAAATGAACACACAACAACACAAAATCTATGGGATTCAGCAAAAGTATTCCTAAGAGGGAACTTCATAGCACTACAGGCCTGCCTCAAGAAACAAGACAAATTTCTCATTGGCTATCTAACCCTACAAGTTAAAGATCTAGAAAGTAAACAAAAAGAAAAGCTCAGAACAAGTAGAAGGAAAGAAATAATAAAGGTTAGAGCAGAAATAAATGACATAGAGACTAAAAAAACAATTCAAAATATCAATGAAACAAAGAGCTGGTCCTTTCAAAAGATAAACAAGATTGATGAACCCTTAGCTAGTCTCAGCAGGAAACAAAGAGAGCGGACCCAAATAAACAGAATCAGAAATCTAACAACTCACACCATAGAAACACAAAGGATTGTTTAAAAATACTATGAACAATTACTGTATACGCCAACAAATTGGACAATCTAGGTGAAATGGACACATTTTAAAA